CATTTGAAATTACACCACAATTGACATTGCGTAGAAAATTTAGTTCTTTTTGTTTTATACAAATGCAAAATGACCAAATTTATAAGGGCTAAATTTATTTTTATCATGCAAAATGGCCACAAACTATTAAAGAATGGGTCATTTTGCATTTGTATAATGGCCACAAGCCCTCTATCTTTTTTTATCATGCAAAATTACCAAATTTATAAGGGCCAAATTTATTTTTATCATGCAAAATGGCCACAAGCCCTTCAAAAATTGTATATTTTTGTTCATATAATATATACTAGATCTTTGATGGCGCGCGTTGCTGCGCCCGTCTATTTGGCACTTAGTTGTTAGGAATATAAGGGAACTTCTATACATTTGTTTATATCTCCACCCAAAAATTAAGTGTCGTGGTTTTAGTTCAAATTTGAACTAAAACCACTTAGGGCCTCTTTGATTCGCAGGGTTGTCAAAATGAAGGAATAGGAATAATGCAGGAATAGGATGACATGTCCCATAGTATCCTACAGGATCTCAAAGAATGTTTGATAGCGCAGGAAAAACAAAGGAATCCTACAAAGAGGTTTGAGTGGATGCAAATTTTCCTCCAAAATGTAGTACAAATGGATCCTATGGAAAAATTCCTAAGGATGCCAATCCTATGAATCAAACAAGCATCACAGGAAAAATTCCTAAGGATTCAAATCCTCCAAAAATCCTATGCAATTCCTTTGAATCAAAGAAGCCCTTATTTTGGGACGGCGGGAGTATACAGGATTTTCTCGCACAATTTTGCAATTTAAGTGATATGCTTCCATCTACGTTCATGCCATAAAGGTTGATGAAATATAAGTACATCATATAGAATAATAATCAAATCATATAACAATTGTTTTCATAGTTGCTTATCATGAAACATTTGTCCAAGAGTAATATTAACAATGTACCATTTTAGGCGAACTTAGAATTTTGTATTAATTCCTTTACACATGAGAGGTTTAGATATTTCGCAATAATAAATGGATCACTACGCCTAAGAAATGAAGATATATAATTCACCATATCAAGATTGAATCGTCAAGTTATAAAAAAAGTTTGCCAATACATAGATAGCTATGTTGACCCTAATCTTTAAATAACACATGCTAGTACAATTTTATTTTCCAAAAACAGAACCAATGTGCCCAGTTGCTCATAATGTAGATGCCACGACATAGCCAAAATACAAAGTTACTGCAAGAATGGAGAAAGCCCACGCATTGGTACTTTGTAAAAAAATTAATCATTTTCCATGTGCAGCAGCCCTTGTCTTCGATCAAGTAGACTGAGCACCACAAATCAGAAAGCTATCTAATTTTAGCAGTTAAACAAATCCGTAAATTCACCAGACCAAATACACACAGGATGGGATATGGCAGCAAACTTTTTTTTTGCGCTGAGATATAGCAGCAAACTTACAACTTGTGCATCAGAAAACGGGATCCAATGATCATACATGCGAATAATTTTAAGTTAGAAAACAGAAGTCATGAAGAGAAAATTAAATAGCATGTAAGGAGAGATCACCTGAGGCAAGCAGACACAAAATCACCTAGCCACCCAGGTACAAAATAGTGGAAATCATCATACCGGAGAAATTTCTCATGAGATACAGATCATCTTATTTTCTAACAATAAGACAAAGGGATTGATCCCTCGAGCTGGTCATCCATATTCGATATGATCTCACGTTCTTGCCCAACCAGGGGTTGAAACCTGAAACATCATCTTATCAGATAAACTTATTCCTAGTATATTGAAACAACCACAAAGCTACCAAAAATATAAGGAGAAACGACATCACTAAATCGCGCACAGTACAAACCAAGGATCAGAGGCAACTTACAGCCTAAATTAGAGGAGGAAGCACCTGGTCAGTAGTTCAACTTCAACAACTCCTCATTCCTTCCTCCATGGTTGACGCATAGTAAAGAGGAAATAGGAGTTTCTGTTAGGGATGTTGTAAAACGTATGCATGTCTGCATGTTAAATATGAAGACAACTTCTCCGTACATGTCAATTCAACGTCGGATGAAAGAGGTACCATATACGCTACTAATACCACATAAGATAATTCGAAATTGAGCATACATACTGTTCTATCACCAGTATAGTAAATAAGTTAAGATAGAGGAAGTCTCTCTGATCTGTCGGTGCAGCAAAGAGATTGCCACAAATTAGAAACTTCATGAATCACGAGCCATCTGGATTCAAGAAAGAGAGAGAGAGAGAGAGAGAGAGAGAGAGAGAGAGAGAGAGAGAGAGAGAGAGAGAGGATGAGGAGGTGGAGGACGACGACTGGCAGAATAGGCAAACAAACCAGCGACCAACACGTTGACCATGGCTTCCGAAGGAGTTGCAGATGTAACCACGGGAACGGGGAAGGAGCAGTTGCCCGATGCATATTATCGAGGGTCGAGTAAATGAAGAAGGTGAATCGGGGGTAGTAACCGACCTACAATTATCGCTTCGCTTGCCAGTAATGGTTGTAGCAATTATGATTTGCATCTTCAATCCCCGACGAATCGACTCCAATCGCGGCCGATGCTTGGTTTCCCGCACCGCCCCGTTGCTGCATTGCTCGGAGACAGAGACCCGTATAGCTCATGTTGGTCGGACTGTAGGCTCGGCCCCAGGCGAGGCGCGACGTGTCCGCCGACATGCAAGTGTTGCGCTCCTGCGCGTGTGCGGACGATGTGTTAATACTCTTTTTTCACGTTCAACACATCACATCTAGTCCATCTGGGCCAAATTGATGACAAACATCCAAATTAGTTATCGGAGCAGCGGCCCAGTACCATCCAACGCTCTTTGGTCAGCGTAACAAAGCTCAAGCGGGAGCACAAGGGGCATCTGACGGACAGGAACACCCACAACAGTGCATCCAACGGTTAAAAATGCTAATGGCTTGGAATGGCTGGAAAAGTGCTCGGTTATAAAGTATCTAAATGAGCGCGGATTCCCATGCGTGCAATTAGCTTCTTGTTCTTCTTCTTTTCAAACCATCGTTTCCCATGCGTGTACACTCCGATGCTGCGGTGAGTTTGAAAATGGGCTACTAACTTTACATTTGACCCCGTTATTGCCACGACCAAATAACACGTAGCACTACGGCTATTTAAGCCATCCTCCGCCTCTGCCATCCCTCACCCATCTGCCTTTCTTACTCTTCGATCCCTTATCCTTCTTCTGCACATCCCTCAGCCATGCAGTACACCGGACCAACCTATCGCTTCCCACCCACCGTGCCGGAGAGGCTCTACCCTACCGGCGTGTACGTTGATCGCACACTACGTGTGTGGGCGATATCAAGGCTGAGGACCGCAAGGAACTTCACCGAGTTCTTCCTCGCGTCCGGCTACCACCACCTCCTGCGGGGATCTCCAAGGATGTTCCGCGTCGAGGAGGTCATCCAAAACCGGGTGGTGGTTGCTCTCCTTGCCCACTTCACCAACACATTCGACGCCTTCTACCTCCTCGACCGGGTGTTTTGGTGTGGCTTCGAGTTCATCGCTTTCACCACCCACAACAGGTTCATGGAGTACACCAAAATCTTCCCCACGCTTGTTTAACCAAGCCTTAACTCGCATGACAGGCATGGAGGCCGCCACTTGCTTTCTCATAAGAGTGGTTGGGTGACCCCAAGTACAAGGGTGAAATAACCTAGCAATATGTATTTCACTTGATTTGAGAACCAAGGTTTATCGATCAAGAAAGAGTTCTCACATCAAACAAAGTCACGAGGTACCTGCACAGTGCACATAAAAACAACACACTCTTCCCCCAACGTTTCAAGAAGGTTATCAAGCTTCTTGTCTAGCTAGTTACAAATGTAAATTGCACGGTACGATAGGAACTGATAGATAAATAAAATAAAATAAATGATACAACAGAAAAAGTAGTTTTATTGAAGTTTTCAATAATGAAAACAACAACTACTTACCATATGTATACCACAAATCTGCCAATTTTACCGCAAAATGGACCTAATCAAGTAGTTGCAAACTGTGCGGTTCCTCGAAGGCTAGAATGATTAGAAAACGCGAAAATTCCCGCAATGTTTAGAAATCAAAGTGAATCTCAAGGCGAAACTAAGTTGCAAAAGTAGCTACTTCTCTATTTATTCAACGAAATTTGCATGGCCTGCAGCAAACTATTGGCGAATAAGGAACAAAACCAAAGTGGATCTTGTTGGTGTAAAACAAAAACATAAATATAGAGATATGTACACATGCTAATGAGACACATATGTTCATTTTCTTCATACCTGATTCATGTATAATCTAATACCATGGTGTATTAACCTGACATGTCATCATACATAATGAGATATATACACCATTGATCGTTGCATCCGATTTTGTAATGCGTTGCACCAATCTTGTAATGACGATATTATACACATACTCCTACATATTAAATATTACTAGAAGTATGTGCATCCGCAAAAAATAATAATATTAGAAGTATGTTCTACTACATACTTGAAAATAGTACAAATGAAATACCCGTCCAAAGTCACATGTCCTGGGTGTCCATTACAGCCTGCGAGTGGCGAGATAACATCGCACTCCAGCAGGACCCCGGGCACCGCATCCGTAAATCCTCCAGCCTCCCCTGCCCAAAATCGTAACTATCCACCACCGTCACGCCGCAGGGTGTACCGACATGCGGGCCCCGAGACCCCGACTCCAGCCCGACCTCCCTGGCGAAAGTACGAGACTACCCCGCGGTGGCAGCAGAAACAACGAGGATTTGCCCCACAGCCCTAATGCTCCCGGGATAAAACCCCACCTCCTCCCGTCACCGCGCCTCCACTAAGAGAGAGGTCGCAGACGGAACCCAACCCTCCCCTCCCCCCCAAAGAAGAAGAAAAAAGCTCGGATTCCTCCGCGATTTCCTCCTCGGCCGCCCGCCGATTCCCTGTCGATCGAGCTGTCGCGGTGCCTTGGTCGGATTCGGGACCCTCAGCCATGACGACAGACCAGCCAGTGATCAGCCTGCGCCCCGGCGGCGGCGGCGGCGGCGGCGGGCCCCGCGGCGGCCGCCTCTTCGCCCCCGCCTTCGCGGTCGCCGCCTCCGGCTCCGGCGACTTCCTCCGCCCGCACGGCGGCGGCGCCTCCGGCGTCTCCAGGGTGAGAGCTCCCGGCGCCCGATCTGGGGGGAGGGTGTTACTGTTCGATGCGGGTTCGATTGGTTTGCGGATGGGCGTGGGGAGGAGATCCAGCGGGGAAATATCGGATCTTGGCTCTAGGCCCTGCGCTAGCCTGGATGGAGCGTTTATTGTCCGAGGACGCTGCCTAATTAATCGATATGCGGGGATTTATTAGTCAGTACGCTGCTGAACGAGGTTTTAGGCTGCGATAATGCGCAAGAAGGATGCGTTTAGGTGCGTGGGGAACTGGGGATTGACGTTGGCTGCTTCTGCAGGCAACAATTTAGATTTCAGAGTATTCACTTCTGGTGCGAAGGGGTGAGGGCTATGCTCTCGGGTAGGTTTCAGCTGTCATGGCTGAGCTTTTATGTAGGATGAGGTGGGCTGTTGGCATAACCAGTGACCTCAATCAGATTCCTGGGTTTATCGCTACTTGCGCATATACCATGTTGATACTCAACACAATACTTACATGCCTAGCCAGACCAAATAAGCTGTTATACATTGGTAGAGTTTGGGTATATTCTGATTTAATTTATAGGCCTATTTTCGCTAAGATGACATGGATGCTACTCTGGTGCAGATTGGTGACTTGCATTCTGAGTCACGTGAGCGTGTTCGTTATTCGAGAGATCAACTTCTTGACCTGCGCAAGGTACATCTCTGACACTTCACACAAAGTCAGTTTTTTCATAGAATTTATGTTGTAAATATCTTCCTTCAATATGCTATTGTTAGTATACCTTGTTATCTGGCTTTGCTGAAAGATGCCAGTAGTGTGTGGTTCGACAGGTTTGAGATGTATCGGAGAGAACTATCAAGTTTGAGTAATCCTGGATACTTTCGGCCAAGCCATGAATAGCGCATAGGCTGTGAAGTACCCCCACCCACCTGCCCACCCACTTAGGGCCAGTTCTTTTGTGCGGCTTAAAAAATAAGCTGCCCCTCCCCAGCTTAAAAGTTAAGCTGCCCTCTAAATTTGTTGAGGCTTCTTAACTATTTATGCTAGGACTAGTTTAGAAACCCCAACGAATGAGAAACGGCTTATAGGAGAAGCTGGATAGGTAGAGGCTTATTTTATAAGCTGCCAAAAGAACTGTCCCTTAGTTCACTGATGTATGCTGTTGCCGTATGTGTACAGTCAAACTTAACCAATAATGAATTGTGTAGATTGTCAGTAGAAGACTCCTGTTTTGTATGTTTGAATGTGTGTGCTGGTATATTAGTGGAAATAGGCTGTCACTGCGAAAGTTATATGTAGAAAGGCAGTGCTATTTTGTAAGTAACATCATGAGCTTGGGGAGCATGGTTCAAGGATGGAAGTAAATTCTAGAGGCATCCCATGAAACAGGTGTGGAAGTGCACCTGTTGTTGTCAATTTGAGGAGGCAGAATACTCTGTAGCGTGCGTAACTTCTCCCTGATTAGTAGCAGTTTGATTAGTCATGTTTTATTTTGAGCCTGTGGGAAAAAAGGCTGAATTGGAAGCCAAGTTTCAAACCTATTAGGATGGTTCTCCTTTATAAGGGTGGAAACTGATAAGCAACATGCCAGCTAGAATGTGTTAAAAATAGTTCTAGATAGAGATGGGCTATCTTTCTTTGTGGACATAATTGTGCTTTCATCTTTGGTCCAGCGAACTTCAATAACTATGTGTTAGTTCTAATAGCATGCACTGATATAATATCCTTGCAGATTACTGATGTGACCGAGCAAATCTTGAGGCTTCAGCAGGAAATTGAAGCAGAGCTTCATGGTGACGATCAGAGCTGGGTTCGCAACGATTCAAATGTGAGCTCTTCATTTCCATGTGCATTGTATGTAGTTTACCTATTTTTACAATCTGTACTATAATGTTTTGCATTCTTATCAAATGATCTTCATGCTACCATATCACTAAATTTATCACAGTTCTATGCTAATTTGCACATGTGGAAGATGGAACCCTTATTGTAGTCCTTTTTGTTATGCAGGTGCAATTGCAGACACAGACACAGACACAAGTACAAGCTCAAAACCGGTTTACTGAGACAGATAATCGTGACTGGCGTGCACGCACAGAGAAACCTCCAGCACCGGCAGTTCCAGAAGAGAAGTCTTGGGACAACATTCGTGAGGTTAAAGAACAGTACAATGCAAGTGGCAGGCAGCAAGAGCAGTTTAACAGGCAAGATCAATCGAGCTCCCAGAAAGCTCAGGTACCTTCAAGACGAGCATCAGTCGTTTACTCTTTTGCTCCCTTTGACCTTTTTGTAGTAAATTTTGAATTGCTGGTTGCTTCCTTTTTGGATTGAATGCTGATTTGCATTGACTAATCAATGTTGATGTGACGTGACTCCATTCATCACATCTCAGTACAGTTGCTTGGTTTTACTGATCTGTCATACAGACAATGTTGGGATTGTTGATACAACTCAACAGTGTAGTCTGATCATGGTTCTGTTGTGCTATTATATAATTTGCTTAATTAAATATCATTCTATGCAACTATGAACATACTCCCTTTTCTAGCAACCTAGTATTCAGTAGGAAACTACATGCAGAAGTTGTGTGTTTGCATAGAAGTAAACAAGTACTCCCTCCGTCCCATAATATATTCTGTGGTGATTGATTTCATGTGTTGTTATGCTTTGTTCTATTTTTCATTACTTATTTTTCCCTACCAAGGTAGTGTTTGGCCGTATGTATATCCCTCCTTATTTTGTTCTCCAAATGTCAGGTTGGCCCACCTCCTGCTCTTATCAAGGCTGATGTACCTTGGTCAGCCCGAAGAGGCAATCTCTCGGAGAAAGACAGAGTCCTGAAAACAGTGAAAGGGTAATATTATGTTTTTCTTCTTGTTCCTGTTGACGTGGCAATTTTCATTCCTTGTTTACTAAGCATATATATTACCTAGTTTGTATTTGTCGTCTGCATGCTGTTTATCTGCTCTTGCTTGTGCAGTATACTAAACAAACTGACGCCAGAGAAATTTGATCTACTCAAGGGCCAACTGCTAGATTCTGGAATTACTACTGCTGATATTTTGAAGGTTTGATTTGTTTCTAGCTGTGTATTATAATCCCATGTCCTCTTGACTGTTCCTGGTGATTTATCCATCTTTTTCTTTTCATTCAGGATGTTATCTCTCTCATATTTGAGAAGGCTGTTTTTGAACCGACATTCTGTCCGATGTATGCCCAACTTTGTTCTGAACTCAATGACAACCTCCCGACATTCCCTTCTGAAGAACCAGGCGGTAAAGAGATTACATTCAAACGTGTGCTGTTGAACAATTGTCAGGAAGCTTTTGAAGGTGCTGACAGCCTGAGGGTTGAGATTGCAAGTTTGACTGGCCCTGACCAAGAGATGGAGAAAAGGGACAAAGAAAGGATCTTCAAACTTAGAACGCTTGGAAATATTCGTCTAATTGGTGAGCTACTCAAGCAAAAGATGGTTCCTGAGAAGATAGTTCATCACATTGTCAAGGTACACCTTGGGAAATCAACGGTACAATTATTATTCCATGAAAACGTGCCTAATCTGTTTGTTGTGTGCACTATGTAGGAGCTACTGGGGTCTGATAAAAAGGCTTGCCCTGATGAGGAACATGTCGAAGCAATTTGTCAGTTCTTCAATACGATTGGTAAACAGCTTGATGAGAACCCAAAGTCTCGCCGAATCAATGATACCTACTTCGTCCAGATTAGGGAGCTAGTAGCGAACCCTCAGTTGACCCCACGTTCCAAGTTCATGGTCCGGGATTTGATTGATCTCCGTTCTAACAACTGGGTTCCTCGCCGTGCTGAGGTAAATAAAATCAACCAAGTGCATGGACTGTGTATTCTTGCATGCAGTTGCTTTCATAGTGATTTAATGGATCGATGTTACTGCTTTGCTGTTATTATGTTGAACTATTACCTTTTATGTATAACCAGTTAACGACTGCTGCTGGGTACTGGCTCATCTCACTTTAGTAGTTTGTTGCATACTGCCAGAAGAGGCATGTCAACTTTATAGGAAAGCTGGAAGTTTTAAGATCCTAAAGGTTAACATACTAGAAGAACATACATGCATCGTGTGTACTGGCAAACCAAAAATGATCAGCATGTTGAATTGCACATTTATTGGAAATCAGTCAGATGTGCACTTTGCTTTCTACACTCAACATGCACATGCTTATAGTCAGTCAGTTAAAACCACCACATTACTTGATTATACTGTGTATAGTCTGTTCTCAAAACTAGAATGACACACTTAAGCCTTCAAACAGTTTTTCCCACTTGTATGACTTTTTTTATAGCAACTGAATCCAGCTGTATTTGTGAATCCATCCATTGTAAACTTGTGCTTGTAACTTTCAGATTAAGGCGAAGACAATCAGCGAGATCCACACAGAGGCTGAAAAGAACCTTGGATTACGTCCAGGGGCCACAGCGAACATGAGGAATGGCCGTAATGCACCAGGTGGGCCTCTTTCGCCTGGAGGTTTTTCAGTGAACCGGCCAGGAACAGGAGGTATGATGCCTGGGATGCCTGGATCTAGAAAAATGCCTGGGATGCCTGGTTTAGATAATGATAACTGGGAAGTTCAGCGTTCTAGATCAATGCCAAGAGGCGATCCGCTTCGCAACCAGGGTTCGTTGATTAATAAGGTTTCATCTATTAACAAGCCATCACCCATCAACCCCAGGCTTCTTCCTCAAGGCACTGGAGCACTGATTGGCAAGAGTGCACTCTTGGGCACCGGTGGTCCACCATCCCGCCCTTCCAGCATTACGGCTAGCCCCACTCCTTTACCAGCTCAAACTACAGCATCACCAAAACCATCAAGTGCAACTCCAGCTTCTGTACCTATTCCTGACAAAGCAGCCAGTTCTGCCAAGGTGATCCCTGCAGGGCTTGAGAAGAAGACAGCATCTCTTCTTGAGGAGTATTTTGGTATCCGTATTTTGGATGAAGCACAACAGTGTATCGAGGAGCTGCAGAGTCCTGATTACCACCCTGAGATTGTTAAAGAAGCTATCAATCTTGCTCTGGATAAAGGTGCCAGTTTTGTTGACCCTCTTGTTAAGCTTCTGGAGCATCTGTACACCAAGAAAACTTTCAAGACTGAAGATCTGGAAAATGGTTGCTTGCTATATGGGTCGCTGTTGGAAGATATTGGTATTGACCTTCCTAAAGCCCCAACGCAATTTGGTGAGGTGATTGCTCGTCTGATTCTGTCGTGTGGCCTGAGATTTGAAGCCGTGGAGGGGATTCTAAAGGCAATGGAGGACACCTTCTTCCGCAAAGCAATATTCACCTCCGTGACGAAAACCCTAGAAGCAGACCCAGCAGGCCAGGCCATATTGAGCTCACATGCTGCAGTAGTCGACGCATGCAACAGCCTCTCGATATAACAGCTCTTGGCAGCTCAACTTCTCAGGTGCTGTGTCTAGTGAAAATCAGCGTATGGTGTATTCTCTATAGCTTAGGTGTTTCACCGCAGAGGAACTGGGATGTGAGCAACAGCCAGTTTTGAGCTGTATATTTTTGCGAGGTCACATGAGTGTTGATTATTGTTTCGAGGACAGAAAGAAGCCATGGATTTTGGTCTCTCTGGCGACGGCGGCCTAACTCTTGCTGGAGCCTGGGAATGAACAAGGCTCTTTGGTTTTCAAATGGGATGTTTTTGTGTCTCCTCCAATGTTATTATTTCTTTTCAGTTCTTACACAATTTGTAACAATGTACTGTGGTTTTGGAGTATTCTGTCGGTTACAATATATCGTGTCAGCATTGTAGGAGTCGAAAACTGAATCTAAGATCATTTTGGCTTATTACCGTCATCCTCAGTTCTCGCTTATTGCTAGATGCTTTTTCTTGTGTTGGTAATTGATCATTGGATGCTCTTCAAATAGATTTTTGAATGCCCTTCTTATAGATTTTGAATCTATTCCTAAGTTCAATTGGATGCTTTTTCTTGTGAGATTTTTTTTCCGTTGGTAATCGATCATTGGAAGAGATTTTCAATTTGTTTCTAAGCTAAATGTGTGTGAGTTGTGAGATTAGTTCAGTTCATGTCTGTTTGTAAACCATTTCCAAACGTCAACCATCGTAAATAAAACTTGTTTGCTGGCCAAGTGCACACGAATTAATTCTTTTTGAATTGAACGTTACACATGAAGTTTTTACTCGCTTCCGAGTTCCGAGCATTGAGTGCAATTTGGAGATTATAAACATATACATATCTTTTAAACGCGGTAAAAATGACGCAAATCCAAAAATCTGGTAATAACAAAAAAAGTACTGTAGCTGGTAAATATCGATCTCTTCCTTTTGGGGTAGGTTGAAAGAATTTATTTCGATCGGGTTTCCCCTATGTTTTTGGAAGGATTCCATTTCTGTTCCAAAAAAGGATCTCTCACTCTCTGCATCGGGCTTCTCTCCCCTGCCCCTGCAACTTTTTGCTCGCTCACACCATCCACCGCCTCCGCCTCCGCCTCCACCCGCCGTTCCGGTAACTTTTTTTTTTTGTCTCGTCTTCGCTTCCCCCCTACCGGAGATTCCTCCTGGGCTCCGCCCACTTCGTTTTCTCTCGTTTCTCGCAGGAAAGGCGCGGCTGCTGGTCTCTCTAGGGTTCGTCGGCCCGACGCTCGCCTGCGCCGGGGTGCGGCGGGGGACCCGTGCTTCTGCTTCTGCGCCGAGAGTATGGTACGGCGATCTAACCCTACTGCCGCATTATTCCCGTTTCCTCCGTTGGTACTCTGCCTCGCGTCGCGGCTCGCTGGCTGTTGTGGGGAATTTTGTTCTCCATTTCCTCCTGCCTTTGGGGGGTTAATTAATTTCTCTGGCTAGAAGAACTCGTGGTGGTTTTGCCATCGGGCAAAGTCCAGATGGCGTGTTTATGCTTCTTTTTCATCAGCGCTGCTTACTCTTTCCAAGGTCGCTGCAAATTGAGATGTGAAATTGATTGATCCTGGAAGTATAACTGCCTTTGGGGAACATGTGGAGGTTAACCGGTGATGTGGTATTGGCTTAATGGGCACCGGTGATGTGGTATTGGCTTAATGGGCACCGGTGATGTGGTATTGGCTTAATGGGCACCGGTGATGTGGTATTGGCTTAATGGGCATTGGTGTTCCTTCTGTGGACCCCTGTTTGGCGCTCATCGATCCCGGAGCGTCTTCTGTATATATGCTCTGAGTAGCTTGGATTTGCATGTGAGATGTCAACCGCGGTTTGCTTGCTTTCCTAGGAATTTTGATTCATCATTCTCATCTCTGTGTGGAGTGTATGATACCTTGTTGGATGGTTATCTAGTGTTCTCGTGTCCTGTGCCCTGGTTGAATCGGACTATCCGAGTGTGCTCGACGTGGTGCTTGGCAGCTTTTGTTCAATTCGGTTAGGAAGACCCTGGGTGGCTTTGCTGGTCGCAAGGCCCAAAGGCGCATATATGTTACTTGGAAGCAATTAACAGTGCTCTTTAGGGCTCATTCTTTCTTTCAAAGTAGTGTGTCAATGATAATCTGGAAATAACTTCTATCTGAGAACTGGTGGAAGATAAATAATAAAGTGGTACCTGCCATGATGTTCGGTCTGTAAACTCTTGTTGGTGTACATCGGTCCCCAGCTGTTCTGGGTGCCTGGACAATAATTGTGCTTATCCCGTTTCAAAACTGACTTGCTCACCAGCACTTTTTTGTGCAAAGTTTAGCACCCCAGATCTTATTTATGGCCTGTTGCACTTAGCTATGCAGAGGCCAGCTGTGAAATCTTTTGCTTTTATTGCCTTGATGATCATTTCGAGTCAACAAAATCTCCCTTCATTGAAAATAAAAGATCTTATTTGTGACATTATCACAGGCTGGAAGGCACACCATTGTTCTCGTGCAACCATCTCCAAACAAAGCGTCCAGAACTTTTATGGACTTCAGTTCACTCAACCAAGCCCTGGATGGTTAGTGTTCTCTCATGCATGCGGCTTGAAATATTAATGCAATTATGTGAATAAATTTTACTTTGCTGTCTGATTGTGCATGTGTTGTTGACTATGAGTTATCATGGGATTCTGAAGATATGCTACTGCTTTGCATATAGACAGTTCATCTATTCCTTGCTTCAGCTCTATAGAAATAGTCATCAGCCATCATCATCTAGTAGAACTTGGACTGAACGTTCAGGAATTCAATTTATAATGTTGTTTACTGTCACCAGTAACCTTCGTGGTTGGCATTTTACAGTGTGCACTGTGCCAAATGTTTCAGAAAACTGAAGTGATATCTGTCTAATGTTTAGGCGAGACAGACCATTAGTATGCTTAAATGTTTAATGAAACAAGATCTCATTGTTCAAAATGTTCAATAACAGTTGAAATGACCATTGATGTATGCAAATTATCACATGGTTTGGGAGTCACATAACAACAAATCACAGGATTTTGCTGGTCCTTTTAGATATATGTACAAATTGTGCACCTGCATTTTTCATCAGTGTCTTGGGAAGCAGCAAAACGTCCCCCACTGTGCCCATTGTCAGGAGCGCACACATGATCCAAAACCTCATCCATCGTGTCCCTGCTCAGATTCTGCATAGGTCACCATGCCGCTGTGAGGAAGAAGAGAAGCGCTGCTCTGACCGTTGTTGGTATACAAGGAAAATAAATCATGCGAGGGAGGAAAGAGAACGTGTACTGGTAGTTATTGCCCTGGCCCATGATAGATGCAGGCCATTGTGGGGTTGTGTACCTATTCGGCTATTCGTGCATGCAGTGACCTGGATGGCATATTTTTTTAGACGAAAGGCATCTCAATTATGATGCCCGGTCTATAGAACACCAAAGGTTCAAAAATCTTACAATCCAACAAAAAGGTAAAGGGCTGGGGTTACCAGCTTACAGAAACAAACACACTAGCAGAGGCACTAGAACAGGGCCTGAAAACCCAAGAACCAACAGGGCAGGAAACAAAAACCACTTCAGATCACATCTATCATGCGCCGCTTGGGTCCTGGTGAGGTGTCGATTCCTGCTTCAGCCTGGTAATCTGTGCCTGAATACACAATCTTGTCTTCTTGATCTCCTCCTGTGTCCTCAGTTCCTCCCCTTCCACAGAGGCATCCACTTCTGCAGGTGAATCATCGAAGCAAACAAGTAGTCAGAAGGATGAATATTAGACTTCTTCTCAAAGATCATCTTATTTCTCATTTTCCAGAGCGCCCAAAATTGGACAGAAAGAACTATCCAGATAATCCTAAAACTATCCCCTCCCCCTCAGTGAAGCTAATAAACTCTCCTCTATTACTAGGCCACCACCAGTTAAACATCTCATTCAAACAACTCCACACAAACCTAGCAGTAATGCACTGGAAAAACATGTGGTCCGCGTCCGCAGGTGCTCCGCAAAGTCCACACATCCCATTTCCTGGGCATCTCCTTTTTTGCAATTGGATCCTCGAAGGAAGTTTATCCAACAAGAGTTTCCACACGAGATTCTCATAGGAAGTTTAACTTCTCCAGAACTCCTTTTCAAATTAATGTACCCCTTTTCCTGCAGGATAAGCTTTTTGTGCATAGAACTAGTTGAATAAGTTCCAGATTTGTGCAAATTAATGTACCCCTTTTCATAGGAAGTTTAACTCCCCTAAAACTCCTTTTTGTGTAAGACGCCAGGAGCTAACCTCATCCTCTCCTCTGAAATCAGTACCAGCAATCTCAGCTAACAAAGTAAGCCACAGATTTGACTTCACCTCATCCAAGTTCGTCCTAAAGGGGACAAACCATTCCCCTGAGGCTCGAGCTTCAGAACCCTGAGATCTGGGTCACATCATTTGCTGAAAAGAGCTGGAAAGCGTTTGCAGTAGGGATCATTTCCTAACCACAGATCATTCCGAATGGAAGTTCTCTCCCCATTTCTCACATGATGTGTAGTTCCCATGTCTGGAAGATGTTTAACTTTGCTCACACTTCCCCAAAATTGAAAAGAGTTATTACTAGCAGCCCCACAATTAACAACATTTCAGATATTTAGCATTGATAAGAGGCATCCATAAAGGGCTCACCTCTTGCTGAATTTTCCAAACCACTTCAAACTCAAAGCTACATTCATGATCTTGGTGTTAAGAATCCCCAAGCCCACAGATTCTTTTGGAGTACAAACTTTCCCAATCAACCATATGGTGTTTGAAGATCTTCCCAGGCCCCTGCCAGAAAAATCTGGACTGTCCATCTTACCATGCACCCCATCCTGTAAGGCTGTAACAAATATAAGCCCATCAAGAACATTGGAGAAGCTGATAAGCAAGAGTTGGTCAAGACAATCCCCCCCTCCCCTGAGGTAAGAAATTTCCCTTGCCAAGTATCTACCATATGAGCCATTCTATCAACCATCCCTTGCAGATCAGCAACAAATAGTAATGGTCAGA